TAATTGAGCTTAAAATGTGGTGAAACCAAGAAAGTCTGTTGAATGCAAAAAGACTTTTGAAATAGTGTAGGGTTCTGGCATGTTACTCATGTTTGACACCAGTGTTCACAGTTGCAGTAAACATGAGTGTCTGAAGAAGCATGTGCTAAGGGATTATGAAGGTTTACTTTCTATAAATTACAACGCAAATATTCAGATTTAAATGGCAATAAAACAACACTCCAAACACAAAAGAGTGTGAGATGTGAAATACCTGTCTGAAAACTATTACATAAAACACAACAGTTTAGAAGACGCTAAAGACAATAAACAATGTAAGACTTGAGTTCTCTTGATTTGTATTTGCTAATTCTAAAGTCTGAATTTGAGACGTTCTCCCAGTTTAATTGCTTAAAAACATTTGGGTCTAAAAGTGTCCAGTCGCAAGTTGTACCAAATAAGCCTTTAACAAAGTGGATACTACTCACTTGTCCTAGCAGGGAAAGTAGGTGTTACTAATGGTACCAGTAGTGCTGTGTTGTTCACACGACATGAACAGTAGAGTCTTTCCGTGGCAGTTTCACTGGTTAACATTAAAAATGGCTTTAAAGTAGGTGAGCCAGTGTTGGGGCCCAAGCACTATGCATGTTTGCTCACTCACTCACTATCACACCTTAACAGCACACCTACTGAATCACTTATGTTTTTGTTTACATCTGTACTTTTTCTGTACCTTCAGTGATAAAAGGGCGCTATGTTTTTTTTGGGGTTTTTTTGTGTAAGAAGGTGGACACCTGTGGAGATCTTGCTTAGAAAAAATATATGTAAACAGTGACACATCCTCTAAATGAAACATTACCATTTATTATTCTTAGCAAGGATATATCTGATGTTATAAAGATCTGAAATGAAGAACAGGGCATTGTACAGCTGGACTGTCATCCACATAAGTGCACTGATGATAACGTCTGAGTCTGCTTTGCTATCCAAAGTACTGTGAACTTGTTATTGAATGGCATTTATTCCGCAATTCTCGCATCGATTACACCACTACTGCACGGGCGCATTTCTGATACGCAGATATATACAAAGTAAATCGTCTTCATGAAATTGAATTTTAAAAAAGAAAAGATTATTTATTTACAGAGAAGCACAGTTTTCTGAGGGGAGGAAAAAAATCTCTCTGACTACTTTGGGCCGTTTTAGTGTCAGTAGTTTATCTTATGAGTCCATACAAGTGTATTTCTTGTGGCAGTGATAATCCAAATCAAAGTCTCTTAAATTAGGAGCTTTTATTTTATTTTATTTTGATTCAGTATTTGCAGGGTTATTTGGTGTTTCTGTCTAACATGAACCAAAACTGTAAATTGAGCTTTTACAGAAAATCATTTGGTTCTTCATTGTGACAGATGAGCATTTTGCACTTTAGCAGAAAAATCCAAGAATGTCCAATAACCCTTTTTTAATAGCTGTTGATTTATTTGTTGCATCAAAAAAAAAACTGATATTGATAATAAAGAACATAAATGTTGTACAGTAGAGAAATTATCTTTCCCAGATCACTATACATATGATCATTGTTAATCTGCTTTCTAGGTTTTGTTTATGTGTCCATCTTGTTCAAATTCTCCCCTTTTAACTGTTCTAGTAATTTTTATACCATAATGTGTCATGCAGGTAAATGCTGTTATGGAAAAATGCTTCTGTTTAGTCTTGTGTCCATAGATTGGTCTGCTTTTTCTCAGAGAATACATCAGTGTATAATGCTACTTGTAGACCCAGGCTTAGCCTTTAGCTGTAAGTTTTAAAGATCCAAGATTACCAATATTTAGGAATTTCTCATTTAAAAAAAATATGCATGGAGTCTTCTTCTTAACATATACTTGATGCAAGAATTTCAGGTGGCCAAACTGTAGAGAAAGATTGGTTTTGTTTTGAAAATCACTGCTGTGTTTCAAGTGTCCTACTCATGCCTTTTGTCTTTTCTATTGTTAATCAACAGCAGAAACTCTGATCTGATTTTAATTTTCCATATTAAATGTTATTTTTTTGTTAAATTATATTGAGTTATTTATTTTACTTCACAAAAGTCAAATATTCTAATTGAGAGTTTTAAAAGAATATTGTTAGGATAGGTATATCAAAAAACACTGGCTTAATTTTATTTAAAGGTTTTTAAGGAATGATCAGGAATGATAATAAGAGGAAACAACTCTAATGTGACTAAAATATTGGTCAGGAATTTTAAATTATTATTATTATTATTATTATTATTATTATTATTATTATTAGTAGTAGTAGTAGTAGTAGTAGTAGCATCAAAAGAGGGCAAATATCATCAGTATTCCCAATTGTTCAGGTGATTATTGTCATCACGTAACTGTCCCCTATAAAAATCCTCAATTTAAAATTTACAGTTCTTACATACTTTATCTTTATTTTGTCAAAAGATGATATATGCATCAGTGGTGCTACCACCCTTTAAAAACCTTCAAGACAGATGTTTTTGTTTTTTTTATTGGCCTCACGTGCAGCGATTATTAGCTAGCATGCTAACACACTAGCACCTACCACAAAATTTGAAATCTACTAACATTTAGCTCGATTATAGCACTGCTCAGGTGGATACAGGCATAGTTTAAAGTCAAAAATGTTTTTGTTTCATTATTTGTTGCTCCTTTTAAACTGTTTAAAGTAATAAGAAAGAGACGGAGACACACAAGAGGTAAAAGCTCTGTAGTGATTTAATAGTAAGCCAGTAGAGGAGCACAAATCTTACAATAACTTTGTATAACAAGTCTGGATAACTTGTTACTTTTTATCCCAAAAGAAAGACATTTTAATTTTTGAAAAAAAGGACATAAATGGGAATCAAAAATTCCTTACACTGCATTTATGATCAAGTTTGTCTTACAGCCTGAAAGTTTGTATTTACAGTTAAGGCTGTTTCCAATATGAACTCATGCAACTGAGAGTTATGCCTGTGGATGGGTGAGGTACACCAAGCGGAGTTTGTCAATACATTTGGCTATTACAACAGCCAGACAAAGGTTATAATGGTCACTACAAAATACCTAAAACTAAAAAACAAACAAACTGTATAGCTCCAAGTTAAAGTATTTAACCATAGATATTATAAAGAATAAACACAATGGAGGTTGTGCCAGAGTTTTATAGTTTTGGATTTACTAATTAGTTTATATTTTGTTTTGTATTTTTGTTTTTAATTCAGTTTAGTTTAGTTTTTACTTTTCATTGCTTGACAATGTTTAGTTTTACTTTTGTTTTTATTAGTTTCAGTGTTAGTTTTAGTCCCTTTTTGTATAGAGCGTATATGCCAGATGCAAGATTTAGAATTCTCAGTAGAAGTATCATTGCAATAAAAAACAGAACTTTTTTGAAAGGAGTTGACTCTCAGTCTTTTAGACATCCAAAATGTCAATAAACATGTCTATCAAAGCCTCATCAGCTCAATTATGATAACAAATTTTCCCTCTGTTTTAGTATTTTTATTTTAGTTTGTTTGCAAAATTGTTTCAGTGACTTTTAGCTTTTCTTGAAAATCTAGTTTTTATTTTAGTTAAGGAAAATGTTTTTCACATCTAGTTTTCATTTTCAGTTCAGCTTTATTTAACTATAATAACCTTGGCATGAGCACTCCCCTGCAAGTATGGCATTATTGTATATTGCACACGTATAACCTGAAAGAGACTGGTCATCTATGGTTAATGTGGGAACCTATGTGCTGGAGTAGCATTACCCAGCACCTTGGCACCACTGACTGGTTTGTAAAGACAGCCGCTCTCTTCATTGGCTAACAGCTGGTTAATTCCAAGGCATAAGTCACTGAGCTTCCGGCTTCCTGACATTTAGAATGATAAAAATTTGCAAAATGGACACAAATATGACACAAAGGGAATGATTGAGCCCATAAAATCATCAGGAAAGTGTTTACAGGGGTTAGAGCTGAAGGCAGTTTTCCCACAGACTTCTGTAGGACTAAAGTCTTTTTGCAACCACAGCGATTTGCCCCTTGTGGTCATGAAATAGAATACAGGCAAAAGTAAATCAGCATTGGCTTCACTTTTTTGGACCTGAAAGCTACGCCCATGTTTAGTTGTTTAATATTCTCAAATAAATCCTTCTGGCTTTGAACATTGTTCAGAAATGATGGCGGGCCAGTAAAGTGTAGGATAGTGAAAAGGCTCAAATTAAGCTTAATCAGTAATGAAATTAATTCAAAATGCACTGATACCCCCATATTGGCCCTGCCATTCACCTATTAGCAGTTAAGATGACATTTATGTGTTGTGTGAAGGCTAAATGTACAAATATTTCAAAACACTTCAGTTTAAAAAAAAATAATTTAAATAATCTGCTTCTTGGACACAAGGTGGAGTAGGTAACATCTATTCCAAACAAAACAAGTAAAATAACACAAGTAAATATTAAAAAACAAACAAATCCACAGACCACTTGCATTTGTGTTTACCTTAAAATCTTAAAATCAGTGTATCCCTATTATTAGTTTTGAACGACAGTTCCACTTTTTAAGTGGCTTATAATGGATCTATACAGTATTAGCCACAGTTTATCAAGTCTCCTGTAAGGATAATTTATACCTTAGCCTTTGTAAAGGTTAGCTTAAGACTACTAAATTATGTTTTGACATTTGACAATTTGGCTCAAATTAATTCATATTTTAACACACAAAGAAATCTCAGATGCAAATTAGGTCAATTATTCAAAGGTTAAAAAATAGTCTGGGTTAATGCCTTAAATTAATGAAGACAATTGTAGATCATACATGTTTTTGAATGAGTGCATTTTTGGTATTTTAATGTAGGCGGCCCATTTTTTTTTTTGGTTCATTCAATAATTCTTCTCTATGGACAAAATAGCTCGTCTGCAGATTGCAGCTGGGATTGGTCGTCGCTTCCACTGTCAGGGGACGTTTAAGTGCTGAGCTCCGCTCTCCATTGGCTGGACACGTGTCTGGGCGTTTCACTGTGGGACTGCCCGGTTGTGTCCGGGTAAGATGGCGTTGGAAGAGCAGTGCTCGGCACCACCTCGATGGCGGTCCATATCTTTGACACACGTAGAGTTCCCCGAGGGTACGTACACTTAGCGTCTTTATGTGTCTGCTGAAGCTCTGTCGACACCGGCTGTTGTGTAATTTTTCGGGCAGTGCGTGTTTTGTTGCTGCTGAATGAACACGGCCGTCGGTGTTGCTGCCAAATTGTGAGCTGCTGTAGAACCAGCAACACAGCGGGAAATGTAACCCGGACTGCAAAATTGTGAGACAGCGTCGCATGCGCAGTTTGTCACAATGTCCACAATGAAGGCTAGTTAGCCTGCTAGCTGTCTTTATATCGTCTTCGGTATTTTCTTTCCGCTCTCTGCTAATACGCCGTGTACTGTAACGGTTATTTGACCAAACTCAAGTATTTAAAAAATAGGGAAAAAAAGTATGACTACAGTAGAAATAAATTGGTACTCCTCGTAAAGCATTGTAGCCAGCATTGTAGCTAACATACTAGCTAGTCCCATGGCCTGATACTGATCAGTGTGACTAAATCTCATTGCACGTATATGTCTGAATTGCACCCAATAATGTGCTCTGTTAGTTTAAATATGGCTTAGCTACTTAACCACAACAGCTTCCTTCTTGTAGCCACAGTGTCTTGGTCATCCGGGTTCACTGAGAGACACAACTTGTCACTCCCACCAGTGACTTCTACTGTTTATGTGCCATTTAATATCTGTAATCTGTTAATGTGTTTTAGATGATCTGACGGGACACTTGCTGGCCTACATCAGCCTCATCCCTATAGCAATTCTTGTGGGCTTTGTTACACTCATAGTGTTTAAACGGGAACTGCACACGGTGAGTCCTGCACATGTACTTGACAAAGTTGTGGTTTTAGAAAGGGCACAATGTTTAAAAGTCCGCCTGTGAAACTGTCAATTGTCTCACAGGAACTTGATCAGCATTGTCAGATGGGGCAGAAGTCTGCAAACACTCATGCATTGCCTTTTTTTCTCATAAAACTAGATTTCCTTCTTTGGAGGGCTTCTCCTAAATGAAGGCGTGAACTGGCTGCTGAAGCACATTCTCAGAGAGCCGCGCCCATGCGCAGGTGGGTGAAGGAACAAGTTTTTTTTAGTTTTTTTTTTTTTTTTTACGTATAGCAGGTTGGGTTGGGCAAGCATTACAAAAACGTAACGGTAGCTAGAGTTCATCTTCTGCTATCAACCACAATATCTATTCAGGTGCACAGCACTGAAACCTGAGATTACAAATTTATCTTGCTATTATCTCTTTATCTCCGAACTGTGTGATGATGGCATCAAGATGATT